CCAAGTGAACCACTTCTAAATTAAGGAAAGTTGGTGCGTGGTGTTGATTAGCTGCCTTCCCCCAAGTGAACCACTTCTAAATTAAGGAAAGTTGGTGCGTGGTGTTGATTAGCTGCCTTCCCCAAAATGAACCACTTATAAATTAAGGAAAGTTAGTGTGTGGTGTTGATTAGCTGCCTTCCCCCAAGTGAACCACTTACAAATTAGGGAAAGTTAGGGTGTGGTGTTGATTAGCTGGCCTTCCCCCAAGAGTTTATACAAGCTCAGACTTTATACATTTCAGTCAACGTTAATCGTTGATTAACAGTACGTAGAATACACAAAATTTAAGTCTTATTATATAGTTGTCTTAAACTATAATGGTTTATTCTCAGGAAATAACATCAAGATTAGGCCTAATCTTTCATAAGCTGTTTATTATTACCAACATTTAGTAGTATTACCCTCCATAAAAGTTTTACGGTTAAGAAAAGCACTTGATTTACATTTCAATTTTACTTAAACTTAACACAGCGAAATTTTTTTATTTTGTTTTTCTTAGTATAATTAAACTGTATATAATCTGCAGACAGAAATGTACTGTAAACAGCACTAAGTTTCCTATCTGATAAAACTACTTCAGAGAAATCTTAAGCATATACTTGAGAAATTAAAATCAAATGCCCTAACTACCCCTGAAAAAAATGTGTATCATCCAATACAGTACCGAACAACTTACCGCATTACAAAAGCACTTAGCATTGATTGTAGAGACAGCCATTTGTTTATTGCTAATAGTTGTGCTGTATAGTCACAATTATCAGGATTCAAAATACTTATTAAAAAAACAACCAATTTCACACAATGCCATTTTTCACAAAAAGCCTATTTTTGTTTCACATTTACCCCCCCCCCAAAAAAAATAATAATTGTGTTTCTTTTTTTTAAGATTAAGCAAGTTATTTTTTTGTTTTATAAAAACAATCAATCATTCTAAACACAGAAGTTAGTTCACCAATTTTGAAGTAACTTTGATAATAAAATAATGCATAGAACCACTCTTGAAGTAAATGTAAAAATTACATTGGAAGAGACTTAAGTAAAATCAACACTTGCACAAGATATGATCTTTATTATCAATTACAGTCAACTAGTTTCGGTAACAGTTACCATCATCAGGGCTAGTATCTAACTATTACTGAAACTAGTTGACTAAATAACATTCAATGTGCCAAAAAAAACGTCGCTTTTTTTTTTACACTTAATATTGTAGCACAATGTTCATGAGAAAAAAAATTATGTTTAAACAACACTTTGATAAAAAGTCATTATGAATAGTGCAACTAACTCCATCCACCAGTCGTAAGCTCTCTACGTCGTCTGCAAGATACTTTGCTGGATGAAACTTGTTTCAGTACCCGAAACAAGACCTTATCCCAAAATTTTATACTTCACTAACAAAGAACATCTTCCAATTATCAAGAAGTTCGTAAACATATACAAAATACTATTTGATCCCCACTAAAAGGCTTTTTTTTTCTTTAAAAAATTTAACAATAATGTGGTTTACTTTAATTACTAATTACTCTTCTCAATAGAACAAGTCTACAACGTAAATATAATTAAAAAATTTATTTATGAATAAGAAATTTAACAACATTTCAACAGTGACCCTACTACAACTTATCCTAAGTAATCATTACTTCAGTACTGACACGTAATTAAAAAAAATTTTTTTTTTTTTAGTCCAGTTAATAAATGACAAGACCAATTCAATATACAGTTACTTAAGGCCCTCCGTGTGCGTCTTCTGGAACGATTTAAAAAGCACACACATAAAAACATTTGTAAACCATCTTGATGATTAAAAATATAAGTGACAAAAATTATTTTGTAACTAAAATAATAAATACAAGTAACTTTTACTCAGTCTCTAATAGGTTATTGGATTTTATCAAGTACTTATATAAAGAAATGAAAATCATCCGTTTACTAGGACTAATTCACAATAGATCATTATTAAAAATTATGGACACGTATCACAACCTACATTTACACAGATATGTTGGTTTTCACAGTTTTGTTACAGGCCTGTTAAGAATGAGCGAAATGACAGTATAATTTTTATTTGTCATATGGAAAAACAGGAGTATCGGTTCTCTTGGAGAATTAGTACGTTAATGTGATGTATCTTAGGTTGTGCAGATTCTGCACTAACTTTATAAATAGTATAGCTGAAGGAATATATGGAGTATTCTTTAGCGAGACCAAGGTTCTGCTTTTTGAAATACTTTTTCCACAACACTGATTTCAAATCAGCTCCACACATCAGCAGAGTAACGACGCTGGGACTCCATGCGTTTTAAATAGGCTTCTGCTTCTTGTCTGGATTTTCCACCCTTTTCTTGTATCACTTCCAATATTATATTGTGCACGTCTCTAGCCATGTTACGAGCATCTCTACGAAAAACAATAAGGGAAGCCGTTATACCACTACAAACAACTTACGATGAAACTAAATATAGTTTTAATGGGAACCAGTAATATTAGGAGACACTTATCAACATGTTTAATTTTATCAGATAAATGAATTCATCAATTTTACTCACAAAGCTTAGAAAGTTTTGAAAATTACTGAACTTTCCAGCAAGTACCTCTCTAATTAAGCAGAGTGCTCTTAAAAACACCCTAGGTGTGTATTCAAAGCAATAAAATGGTTGTCTTACAAATAATACTTACCCACACACATAGATATGGCCATTCTTCTCTCCAATCACATCCCACACTTCTTCTTTATTCTGACGTAACAAATGGGTAACGTAGACTTTCTGTGGCTGGTCTCGAGAGAAAGCCAGATAGTACTTTGTTAGAGTTCCACTTTCCACATATTGCTGAAGCTCATCTTCATACATAAAGTCCTCTGATTTTTTCCTGCACCCGAAGTACAGGATCATCTCTCCGACAGGCTTGTCTAAGTGTTTAGAACAGTCATTAACACTCGAGATCAGTATCTTTTAAAAATGAAATTTTAACTGGCTTTCTAACATAGTGTTTCTAAGAATAACTAAAAATGATATTTATTTCTAGCTTAAATTGTAAAATATAAGAACTACATAATTATAGAAAAATGATCCCTATCTATACAACTTGAATACAACCCACAGATCAGCAGTAATTCTGTTTTCAAAAACCGCTTTCAACACTTATACTTTCTAAACTTCAACTTTCAACACTTATACTTTCTAAACTTCAACTTTCAACACTTATACTTTCAACACTTATACTTTCTAAACTTCAACTTTCAACACTTAACTTTCAACACTTATACTTTCTAAACTTCAACTTTCAACACTTATACTTTCAACACTTATACTTTCTAAACTTCAACTTTCAACACTTATACTTTCTAAACTTCAACTTTCAACACTTATACTTTCTAAACTTCAACTTTCTAAACCACTTTCAACACTTATACTTTCTAAACTTCAACTTTC